CTACTTCTAAGTTATTACAATAGACAAGTTTGAAAACATTAGGTGACTCTGCCTTCAATTCTTAAAAAAAAGAAAATTTTAATCATAAGCTTAAGAATTTAAACTTAAATAATTTAAAGAATCTGAAATAAACAGCAAAAGAACAAAAGCAAAAAGCAAAAAACAACTGATACAAAAAACTGCATTTATGGAAAGTAGTCAATCGTTCCAGCAATTTAAAGGGTTTGTGATGCTACCAGGAGGCAAGATTTTGCACATTGCTCCCCATTGGTTGAGTTCACACAATACAATTCCAGCATTCAAATAAGTGTGTGACATGGAAACAAGATTGCTTCATTCACACAGAATATAAAAATAATGAGTGATTTCTCAAAGACTCTGAATCACAAATTACCCAAGTTCATTTTAGCCAAGATGGCTGTCCAGCTATAACATATCAAAATACAAAGGATAAGAATTAAATTATTATTATTTTCTTGAAGAGATTGGCAATTTAAACATGGAACTGATTTGGTGATGCAAAAATTTAGTGTTAGAAAGCTAGTGCAAATCATTATCAATCTAAATTTGGTATGTCATTTAAAATAAAGAAAAATGTCAACTGATATGCACAATTAGCAACAGCAACTATGAGGAAATTGTAATTTCTTTTAAGATACTGATCTTAAACTTGACCTGGACATTTTTGACTCTCTAGCCACATTTCCTGGTAAATTCTGCTCCCTAATATAGAAGTGTATACTCAATTAATTTAATAAACATGCAGGACAGACTCTCCTTGGAACACCAAAACATCATTTGTAAAGACAGTTTTGAATAATAAGATACCACAGAGCCACAAACTTAGGCCAAACATCTGCAATAAATAGCAGGTGACTTTTTGGTTCAAGCAAAGAAAAACAAACCACTAGTCTCAGATATTAAATCTCATAACAAACTGAAATTATCTTCAATAAGTTTATAAAATTTATAACTAAAGTTTATTAGATTTCAACATAAGCAGAAAGACATCTTTGACCCAGCTTCATATATTTGCTTTCATAATATTTGTGGATCTGCAAACATTCATTAATTTTTCTTTCACTTTTACTAGTTTTTTTTTCATTTCATTGGGTTTAATCATACTTCCCAACTGACTCTTCACTAGAATATGCTAGCAACCATTTTTGAAGGGCAGGAACATACATCATCACCCTGTATTCACCCTGCGTCAAATATGACCTCTAGACATATTTTTGGCTGCTGTTTTTCTTTTTCGCTTATGTTGCTTGAGCTCTCCTGTCCATTTTGGCTTCTGTATTTTACTTTGCTGCAAGCTAACTCCAACAGTTCTTTGGCTACTTCAGAGGCAGGAATTCCTCTGCAACTGAGTCAACTGTTACCATGGTTTCTAATGACTTCTACAGCTAACTTGGCTTGCAGATAAAAAGATTGCTGCTTAAACACTGTTTTTTTATGTCATTTTTCTTTCTCTGAATTTGATATTTTCCCCTCAGATTTTTAAAAATAAGTCCAACAGTGCACCATTTCATTATTGTTTTAATCACTCTCTGCTCAATGCCAGGAACCTTCTATTGTCAAGACAAGTGTTAAAACCATTGTGCTATTACAGCATTTCTACTAAAGACAATTTATTTATTTATTTATTTATGAGACTTATATACCGCTTTAAGTGCGAGCACTCTCTAAGCGGTGTACACCAGTAAGCAATGTATATATATATTTACATTGCCCCCAACAATCTGGGTCCTCATTTTACCTACCTCGGAAGGATGGAAGGCTGAGTCAACCTTGAGCCGATGAGATTTGAACCGCTGACCTGCTGAACACAGTCAGCTAAAGTGGCCTGCAGTACTGCACTCTAACTGCTGCGCCACCTCAATTCTAGAAGACAGAAAGAGAGAAAGAGAGAGAGACATAGAAAGAGGGATGAGAGAGAGAGAGAAACTTTTAAGTGTGTGTCTCTGTGTCCAGTAAGATCCACTACATCAGTGTTTCCCAAACTTGACAATTTTAAGGCATGAGGACTTCAACTCCCAGAATTCCACAGCCAGCAACGCTGGCTGTGGAATTCTGGGAGTTGAAGTCCACATGCCTTAAAATTGTCAAGTTTGGGAAACACTGCACTACAGGAATAAAAGCAATTATCAATTGCTGTCCAGGAGAAGAAAAATGGGAAGGCACAGCAGCATCCAAAGAGAACATATGGTTACCTGCTCTGTTGGTTAACTACCTTGTGAGCTGTTGCTAGGTATCTTAATCCAGACAACACTTTCTTATATGAGTCTAGAATCATGTGCACATGAGTATAATAAGTAGAAGCAGCTTAAAGGAGCAGTGTTCATAGACTCAGTGTTAATATCTGCACATAGCTTAGTCCACTTTTCCACCTCATGAGGTTCTCCAGAAGGTTGATCTTACAGTTTGAAGGATAAAAACAATTCAGCCATAATTTGAATAAAATCTTATGTGTTTAATTATCAGGTATTAGTTTCATTCCTTCCTTTCCACCTCGGAAACCAAAACACATCTCCCAGCTAAAGTATGCGTAGAAATCAATATCTCAAAGTCTTCTAGACAACATCTCCAGTAAGCTTAGTTAGCATCAGGGCTTTTTTTTTCTCATAGAACGCCCAGAACGGAGTTCCACCACCTTTTTGGGATGGAACCTTGTAAAGTAGGCAAGGCAGGTTGTATGACATGTGTGAGTTCCGGCACTTTTTTTTTTTTTTTTAGAAAAAAAGCTCTGGTTAGCATAGGTAATAGTCAGAATTTATGGAAATATAGTCCAAAATATCTGGAAGGCACTTGGGTATCTATTCCTGGTCCAATGATAATTATATGTGTTTTTGCTTCTTATTAAATAATTGCTTCCATCTATAAAAGTCACGTTGATCATCTCACCTTTGATATAACTAATGGCATGTGATAATAACTGTCTTTGGTTATGATGCTAATAATAATTTTAGGATACCTGCTTTCCCAGATGCTACAATATTGCTACACAAATTATTTCATAATTACAAAGGCTGAAACATATTTTTTGGCAGATACTGAATGATTACTTGTTCTTGTCCAACTTCAGCTTCTCCCTTCATTTTCATTGTTGATTTTACCTAATATAAAATTTGGATCAAGATGTAATTAGTGCTACAAGAAGTGAGTTTGCATTCTTTTGGAAAATTAAGCCTTACATATGGCTTATATTTTTGCTTCCAGTAAAAAAAATTATAAATATTTGCATTTAAAAAACAACAGCAACATGTTGAGGAAATTGATTCATTGTTTCCCTTTTAATTAGTCTGGAATACAATGTGGAGATCATTGACATGTAGTAGGGGCCTTTGTCTGACATAGTTTCTCACAAAATGCCTCAATTTCAGTGTAAACGTTCGCTAAATTTCAAGTATAGTAACATGGCTTTAATGCCATAAATCAGTGTTTCCCAACCTTGATGACTTTAAGATGGGTGGACTTCAACTCCCAGAATTCCCCAGCCAGCCGTGTTGGCTGGAGAATTGTGGGAATTAAAGTCCATCCATCTTAAAGTCACCAAGGCTGAGAAACATTGCCATAAATGTTTATGGCCTTGGCCTATTTTTATCATCTAGTCTACACCATGAAAAGGACACAGGAAGATGCTCCTGTTGAGGCTTTGGTACCATTTGAATGCCACAAACTAGAAGTATAGAATTTTTGTTACCTTGATAATATGCCAATTTTAATGCAACACGTTGATATGAGTAGAACCAGCACTCATTTTTGTATGGGTTTCAGATTTTGGGGGTAAAATAGGTGCCTTAAGTCACTACAAAGCCAAATACCAACTTACACAATAAACCTCTCCAAAACTAAAAAAGATATTGAACTTTTTAAATCCTGGACTTCACTTCTTTCATTCCTACCATAAATTATGATATTGTTTTAAACAAAGGTGGCGATATTTTATTTTGGAAGAATGCCGTCCTCCCCCTATATGCATACAATAGTACTGCTTGTTCTCTTGAAAATCCTTACTGAGTTTAATTTTCATTTGTGTTTAATTTGAAAATATCCATATGTATCTCACCTTTATATTTAAATCCCAGGAAACAATGTACAAAATCAGTATCTGAAATTAATAATGGACTTGATAAAACTTAACCCACACAACTGAAACTTAAGTGTATCAACATGGAGGGCATTCAGCTGAAAAACAGGACAGAATGTCACAACTCAGTAAAACAAGACTAAGAGATTTCATGGTCTTAGGCAGAGCTTTCTTTGTCATAGAACACCCAGAAGAGAGTTCTGGCACCTTTTTGGGATGGAACCTTGTAGGGTAGGCAAGGCGGGTTGTATGACGTGTGTGAATTCCGGCACTTTTTTTTTTTTTACAAAAAAAGCACTGGTCTTTGGTAATGTATAAGAAGCATTTCCTCTTCTACTCTCAAATATTCTAAATACAGAAGTTGACTGACATGGAAATTTAATCTTCAATATGCAAAACAAGCAGTATATTCACTGTTAATTTAGGAAGCATCCATTTTTCCCAAGGTATGCTGTCTGAGGAAACTGACTCATTCTGCCTCAGCTTCAACCATTCTTGGAAATAGTATGTCTTCAGGTTGCATTTAAAAAATGGTAGCCCAAATTGCACAATACAAGCCTTTCCCTAACTGGAACTGTTCATCAAACATTCTTCTAAAAGTTTGGAGAGTATATTTCTTATAGTAATAGAAACGTTCATCCTGCTTTAAGTATGGCCATCATTAAGTGTGAGTGGATGAATTCCAAATGCCTTTTATAATACATTTTCAACATTATCAAAGTGACCTCTTCTAAAGGGAGATCCGTTCCTTTAAGCAACCTTTCCTGACCTCTGCAGCTAAAGAACAAAATAATGGAGCAACAAAAACACTGACGACTGCCAAAGCAGAAGGAGTTCCTGTGAACTGGCTGAAACAATAAATCTCCTCCATGCTGAATTCCCGGAGGGAGGCTGTCGTGTTTCCTCCTGTTCTTTATCAAGGTCCCCCAAATAAGCAGGATGGGCAGTGGCTCTCCACAGCTGGCCTTACTCCCTCTTTCTTTCTGCTACAAATCTTTCCCACCGACTAATTAGAACCAGGTTGAGTGTGAGAGTTTTGGTCCTGCTGTGGCCTTTGTAAGAAGACGTCTGGAGCACCCTGAATGATGGCTGGGAAGCTGTGGAGCACTGTCCTCCTTTCCCTGGCTTTGTCTGGCTTCTTCTGTGAGGAGGGTAAGGCCTCAGATTTCTTTGCCACCCTTTCAGCTTTCTCAGAGCAGTGGAGCTAGTAAAAGGGCAGCCTGCTATGTTGCCATTTTGTCACCAGATTGCGGTAATATATTGCAGTAGATTGCTGTAATATTTTCTGGGGTCTCAGAAACTGCATCTACAATGAAAGAAAATACATAATTCTTTCTAAAACTAACAAGTAAAAAGATCTGTCTCTCATATCTTATCAGTAAACTTTTCTAGAGCACTAGCTGCTTGTAAACAAATTGTTATAATTTATTTATTTAAAGTATGACATCTACAGCGGCCTTGCAATCACTGATACAACATATGAGCACAATGCTATATAGGAGATAATATATTAAATTAAGATAAAATCATAATAAATTCACCATGATATGGAGCCATAGAATTGCAATGGTATAGATATTATAATATGATCTCAAGGAAGCTCACCATCTAACTGCTTCTGGGGTGGCTGCATAACATCATCCCAGGTGCATTGAAATGATAATATTTGTATTGTCATATAGGCATCCAAAATGATTTTTAGAAGAATTCCCCACCTGTGATAAAATGTCACAAACTCAATTTAAACTCCCTTTTACAACCTTGTAATCCCTTAATTCAGAGTAGAGTTGGGGTGGCTGGATGGAGCTGAGCAATAAAACATCACAATCCTGCTAAAAATTAACTATTTACCTTAGAAATATTGCATTTAAAGAAGTAGGTTATTTTCCATGCACAGTTATTGGAAAGAAACTCCTTTAACCACAAGGATTTACTTTGCAGAAAACAACCATAGAATTGCATTAGGATATTCCTTTGGTGCAAATCCCATTGTATTTAATGAACTCAGTGCCAGAAAAATAATTATGCTATTATAATGCGGCCATTTTCTATTTGTTATTTCTAATTTTATTCTAGTAAAAAGTATGAGTGGGGAATAAAGCAATATCCTGGCAAGAATAGAACACTGTGGTCTGTGACAGTTTGGGAACATGATGCAACTGGGACTGGAGATATTAAGAATTCATTTCTTAATATTTATTATGGATTCCAGCATTGATACACTCTGTAGTAATCTTTAGAGGGCTGCTCATTTATCAAGAAAGTAATTCAAAAAAATAATCAGAAAGCAACTAGTACTATTCCTTTCCAAATGTTCTGAAAGAACCCAAGGCAAGAAGTTTCATTTAGCAAGAAAGAAAATTGTGTTATTGTTGTTTATTCTAGTTGTGTCTTCTAAGTAGGTGCATAGTATCCTTTTATCCTTTCACAGATGCAGGAATAGATCAATTGACTGAATGGCTAGTAACTATCAGGATCCTTGTGGTTAACTAATTATGCAATCCTAGGTACTGAATTAAAATCACTTCTTTTTGTTGCAAAAGAGAAGACTGGAATTAACAGAGTTCTCACTGAAAATTCTGTTTACAGCTCAAAATTCTCTTGTATTTTTCAGTGCTGAGGTCTAAAAATCCTTCATACATTTTTGTCTGACATACATGTGCATTAACACACTTAACATGGAGAAACATTACTATTGATACAGCAAAATAAAAAGGGTTGAAAAAGGGACAATACAAAAATTGTATTCATACGAGCAAAAATGTGTGGGTGCATGTATATTGCTCAGGATAAACTGAGCAGATGAATAAATGCTATTTTATTCAAGATAATAAACTCTTTTTTTTTTTGAACTCTGGATTCCTCCCCACACTCCTTTTATTAGTTACTAACTAAAGTTTCCTAGCATGACAGAATGCAGGATATGGAATCAAGGATTTAAGTTACAGAAAGACAGATTCCTGTTGAGAGTTATGAACAGGAAGAGCAATTCAGCAGTACATAATGAGGAGATAAAAACTCCTTCACTGGATATGATAATGGCTGGATAGTCATGCTTTAATTCAGATTCCTACCTGAAGCAATGGGTTGGCTTTAATGGCCTAAGTGACAATACATGCTCAAAAATGGGGGGGGGGGATGCCATTGACGTAGGATGAATTGATGGAGGAGGCTGAGTTGGATGTTCTGTCTCCTGGAGTCTCAAAAGTCTTATAGACCGCCTAGTATGTGATATATACTAAGGCAGTGAGTCAGAGGGCAGCTACAGAAAGAAAAAATGGAAGTGCTGTGAAAGAGTTAGAGATATGTGCCATGTTTGCACCTATACACACTCTAAACAATCTTCATAGAAAGAAATTTAAAACAATGTGCAATATGGTAGATACACACAATGTAATCATAGAATTGGAATTGGCCACTTAGGCCATTAAATTGATTTTGTAAAAAATTAGCTTGTAGAGTTCCTTGCAAAACATCATTCCTTAGAAAGTAACTCAAAGAATGAAACATCCATTGAAAGCTATGAAGAATATATACCCTTTATATATTCATCTACTTTCTGGGTGCGCTGGCAATATATGAATGGACATATGTTATGGCATAATGTACAGCCATCTTTTTGTAAATAATGTTACATTACCAATGTATTTAGCCATAATATAGCTAGCACCAAATTTGCAAATCAATATCCATATGCAAAATATCATAGCAATATCACATATATCTGGCCTATAGTCATTAAGACTGCTATGCAACACTTCATATTTAAGGTAAAAGGATACTTTGGAGCACAAAAGAACACCTTTTAGCAATTATACCCTTTTAGCAATTCCTTAAGCTTGTCCTTTCTCAAGATTAAGTGGCAGTAAGGGAGAGCAAAGACACAGCTTTTTAAGTGCCACAAGGATATCCCTCTCCTGTCTTTTTTTTTGAACAAGTTTTATTAGTTTTTTAGTTTTTACATCAAAGTGCTTGGGAAACAACGTGGTGATAGGGTAATCAATCATCCAAAAACAAAATCGTACATATATGGCTCAGGTTAATTCTTTAAAGATTTCCTCTCTATTTCTCTAAATTAATATAACATATTCAAATTAATACATTTCTAAATAGAGTTCAATCCATCAAAAAAATTGTCAGTAACATTTCACCTATATAAGTACAAAACCTGTTTTTAAGCTTTACTAACTTACAGTTACCGTAATCCAATTTAGCCTTAAATAAACATATTATTTACACTTCAGGTATCCCTAAATTCCCGTTTCATAACATAATAATTATGTCTAAAGTAAACATATTATTCCAACAGTTACATTCTCACATTTCCCAAATATATTCTATTTCTTATTTATTAATGCCATGTCTTCCTTTATCACAATCCATTTTCTTGTTCTCCTTCCATTGCAAAGTGATTATCATACCTAAAATAAAAACATTACTCTAAAAAAATACATTCTTACTCTATTTCAAATATATATTCTATAAATTAATCCATATCCCTAAAAAGCCTTTTTAACCAATTAAGTAAAATTTAAATCCCATCAAAGTAATTATCATACCTAAAACAAACATATTGTTCCAAAAGATACCTTCTTACTATATTTCACATATATACTCTATTTCTTATCCTAATAACTCCTTATATAAAACCTTTTCCATATTACAATTCCAAACTATAATCTAGTCAATCATTCACCTCAGTTAGTATTAAATCAGTCAAAATCTCTAAAAGCCTTTTTAACCCATTAAGTAAAATTTTAAGTCTCATTTTTGAATCTAACTCTGGCTTTCTTTTTGTGCCAGACAGGTTTCCATAAAAGAGCCTCTATATCATTAAATCTCAGTGTTTGATTAGGAGTGTTTATCAACAATTCAACCTAGTCGTACTTCTCTTCTCCTTCCAGTATCGTCTGAGTAGTATAATCAATTTTGTTCAATGTTGTGGTTACTAGTTGGTTATTCACATTATCACAGTTTTCAATACCTCGTATTTGCAAATCAGTTCCTGTTGCTTTTGACATTACAAGGTATTTTAATTAAAGTCATTCTTTGGTCGTCAAAGTTCTCAATGAGTTGTACGTAGGATTGTGTAATATCCTCTTCTGTGTTGATTTGTTCCTCTTCTGTTTTTTTTTGACTTATGGAGTAGTCAATTGGAGTCTGGAAATCAGTTTGAAGTTTTGGGGCAAGGGCTTTTAGTCTGGAATTCACTTGCTTAGTAGCTTCAACAAATTTTTCCAGTATAAGTTTATAGTTAAGTTTTGGGTGAGGTTCCTCCATCTCATTAAATTGTGTGTATTGTTGCGTACAGGCCTCTTTGAAGTTGATCTGTTTCTCCTCTATTATTCCTTGGCCTATAAATTGATAAGTTAAAATTTGAGGTTCAATTTGTAATTCTGGAATATCATCTTTGATATTCATCCTAGAGTTCATTTGTTCCGTAACTTCCAATATTTTTTCCAATATAAGCTTATAGTTAAGCTGTGGGTAAAATTCCTCCATTTCAGTGCTGAAATAATCTTTTAGTCTTTTAGTGGAGGCTATGTTTACTAACAGTCAGCCAATATCCACCTCCCCAGTTTCTAGTAGGCAGTTTCACCACCCAGCTGTTTCAAATCCTTTATCTTTTCCCTTTTATAATAATTTGAAGGTCAAACCCAGCCTCAAAATCAAAGAGGAAATACAATTGCAGTGTCAGCTTTTGCCACAAGATGGCCCCAGTAGGCTGTAAAATCTTTTTTCCAGATTCCAATAAAGTTTTATCCAGTTAGGAAAATAAAAAAAAACCAATATTCTCCAGCTTAATAAGTAGATAGAGTAATAAAGAATAGAATAATAAAGTTCTATAGTAGGGATTTTTTCAGGACCCCAGAATATCCAAGAATAAAAATAGTCAGTGAAAATTAATTATTTTTTCTTTGTTTCTAGAGCTCGTTTCCCCCAATAAACAGACGCCGCTCTCTCAAAGCAGGGAAATAATTACAGAAGCTTTTCACAGGGAGATAGTTAGGGTACAGAGAGGGAAGGAAGAGTCTCACCCGGATCTTCCACTGTGGTTATTTATGCTTAGATGTTCTTCTGACTTTTGGCTGGTGCAGCTAAGTGATCGGCCATGTTAATGGCTGATCTTTTCTCCGTCGGTCCTAAGGAGC